TTTTCAGGATCTCGAAAGCTTCCTTTGCCTGAGTGAGATTTCGCCCAGCTCGGATCTGTTCATCCGTAAGTTCGTAGAGCACCGCGGCAACCACAGGATAGTCTTCGATGAACTTGTGGTAGTAATTCAAGCTGCCTAGAAAGGATTGGATTCCTTTTAAGGTTTTCGGGAACGGCAGCTCCTCAATGCCCTTGACGATCTTCGGAACAGCCCTAATGCCTTCAGCTCCAATCTCGTGCGAAAGGTACGGGATGGTTCGCTTTCCGAATTCACTCTTCGGTAAGCTTACCGAGATATTCCAGTAGCGCAGCCGATATAGCAAAGCATCCAGGTCGTTGCACAGCTGATCCCAGGTGGGGGCTCCGTGGGCGATGTCATCAATGTATGAACTTCGACCCAGAACAGGTCCCATCTGGGGTGGTGCCGGAATGTTCCTCTTGAAAACCGTCATCTGGTCTGTCAACGGCGTGATGTGATTTTCCGGGTATGACTGTTCCGAGTGATCGCCATCTGCCATCTGCATCTCTGAAGGTTCAGTATCCTGTGGTTCCAGTTTCAGGTAGTCTAGGACTTCCGGATCCACGAGAGCTTCTTCCTCAGGCGGTAATCGCACAAAGCCCCACAAGCAATTGTTAATGACATGCTGGTAGACCAACGGCGCATTCTTCAGCCCGAAAGGCATTCGGACCCACTGGAAATGTCCGAAAGGGCACACGAAAGCCGAAATCAGTTTAGCCCTCTCCGTCATCCGGATTGCCCAGAAACCACTCGCCATATCCAGACTCATAAACCACAGCGCGCCTTCGAAACCAATCAGGAGACCATCAATCAGGGCAACGGGTAATTCGAGAGCTGGATGTAACCATTCACGACCCGATAGTCAATGCACATCCGGATGTCACCATTCTTATTCAGGACGATGACAATAGGGGAAGCCCAAGGTGATTCGGAATGCTCGATCAGACCAGTTTCCAGAAGTTTCTTCAGAAGCTGGTAAACCTTGACTGCCAAGTGTGGTGCGATCGACCGGGGTCGCTGAGCCACAGGTCTGGCTCCTCCGACATCTAGGTCGCAAATTACCCCGGGCGCAGGTGCTGCATTCCCTTCACCTAGAAAGATGACCTTGTGACGTTCCAGGATGTCGCGAAGTTGTTTATCTTGGGCATTAGTCGTCACGCCCGGTTCACCAACGTCTGCCTTTTCAATATTGCATTCCGGACGCAGGTCTTGAAGTTCAGGAAGCATGGAGAGCTGGTCCCTCAGCTGAGCCATCAACTCACTTCCCTCGTGAATATAAACTCCGGGTTCCAGCTTCAGGTCTTCTCCGTCACCTGCATGACTCTCGTATATTCCGATTCCAAACGTTCCACAGCGCGACCTGAGGTCTCATGTACCAGGGCGTCGGGTTCATCATCCGAAGAGGTATCATCATTTGGCACTTCCGACACTCCGGCAACTTGAGACGCTGCGCATCTGTCTGAAGCTCGGTCGCTACACGCTGGTTCCACCAAAGTCGAACTCGCGTCCTGGATGTCGCCATCCGGGAAGTCAGTTTGAGTTCCGACATTCACCATCACGGGGTCTGTCTGGACTGCGATAGTTCGGGACGTCAGGGGGACTTCCGGCTTCACGACTGACCACACCGCCTGGGAGTTACTCACCAAGG